TGGGGCCATCAATACATGAGTGGGACCAACCTCAGAACGAGGAGAATAATAAATGATGATATTCAGTTACAGAGGTCAATCAATAAAATGTACTGACAAAGACACTAGGACGCAAATTTCCATTCATGTCATAAAACCATTGAACGTTATTAATGAGAAAGTATAGTTAGAAAGAACACATCAAGAGCGTGAACTCAATGTCACCACAAAACTTAAAGACACGTTAAATTTGAAGGCAGTGGACATTTTTTCTGCATCTATTTCATCTAATGGCTCAAATTTAGCAGACAATTTCTTCTGGGCTCGATACAAGCATCAGACAATAATCTTACACTCATCAGTCAATCAGTTGTCTCATGCCTTGCCACATCCACTGAGCCGTGCCGTCAGACAGGTACGTTACATCTTTGTCACTCTGAGACTACATTTAAAAACCTGCCCCTTCTCATGAAGCTTTCTGATGTCAATACTAACCAATGAGAACTGAGACTCTTATGTCATTAGAAACAAAATTCTTTTCCCTGTAAAGTGCTTTCGTCAAGATTGTTTTTTTTTTAATTTGGAAGGGGCTTAGCATGTGGGAAAAAAAAGGGGGGGGGGAATTCTGTAGATCAAGAAGGTGTTTACCCATTGTTCATTGTATCAAAGTTTCCCTCTTGTCTGGTGATAAAATCCATGCTGTACTTTGTATTTCTGTACATTATTTTAAAACTAAAACTTGTGTGCCTGGCCCAGCGCCATGCGAGTCCCGTCCGTGAACAAGTTAAACTTCTCAGCATGAGTTGGAAGCGTTTCCTCTACTAAGACTTGTAGAAGTATTTGGTCTGGTTGAGTGCCTTGCTGGCAAAGTCATCGTCTGTGATCCTCTCCCAGTCCTGCTGGGTTTGTCCCACTATGAACCCAAGATCTCGGCGGCGACTTTGAGTTTTCTTCTCCTCAAGGTCGGCCCACCGAACCTATTATAGAAAAAAATTATTCCAAACTATAACCGACCTATTTAAATCTAATGATAAATTAGGTTGTGAAACAATCCATCTCCTTTTAAATTTAAATGCCGATTTAAATGTTATTGAGCTTTGAAAATTATTATTTCATTAAAATTTAAAAAAAACTGTTACTCCGTATTTTTGTATTCATGGCGTTCCTTTTAATTTTCTGATTATGTTTTAAAAAAAAGATCTTTTTATTTATCATCTCTAGTTTAATCTCAGAATAACATCTAAGAGATCTTGAAAGCATCTAACTACTCGAGGTGGTAGATTCTCTATTCATGGCTTACTCTTTTTTTCCCGGGCAAGGACTCGCGTGAAATGTATTCATCGTCCATCTGATCCAGCTGGAGATACTCATTCAAACTCTGGTGTTCTTGAATGTGTTTCTTACTGACCCGGATACCATCAAGTTTGTCTGGAGAAGAAACCAGGAAATTTAATCAAAAATATTCCATTGGCTTAGCAAGGGGGGATAACTAAACAAACACTTTTTAAAACTGGACAAAAAGAATTTTAAATGAGTTTTTCCATTTTATACAGATAATTACTCAAGACACCATAATAAAGTATCCTGCCATTTCAATTTAAATTTAGTGTTTTGAATTAATTTGTTTAAAATAAATAATTACACAACATTGAAAATTTCAAAATGAACACGCACAAAAAAATGAAAATAAAATGAGTGTCCACCTACCGAGTGTTTCTTCTGATGTATCCAACTCCCACTTGGACTTTTCATAAATCTGTTAAAACAGCAGAAAAAATGACATGTCCCCTTGGTTAGGTCCCTGGCTTGTGTCAGTACAAAATCTTGCACAAGCCAAGCAACAATCACCAACCAAGCAACAATCACCACCCAAGTAACAATGTCACATTCAAGAGTCACTCATCAATTCTTGATGGTTTTTCTATAGGTATCTAGTTGCAACTTCTGGGTAATTTTTCAGCAAATTATTTTTATTTTTAACCAAAGTGAATATTTGCAGACCTTAAAATTGTGAAAGATGTATTTATTTTAACCTACACTCTTGACCCAATTAATTGAGGAGGGTAGTTTTGGAGTCTTGACCAGCCAAATGTTTATAAAAGAATAAATGGAATTCTTGGCTTTACTCAAAACTAAAACCATTGATATCACATGGTGCACCCCAAAAATGGATGATTAACCAGTGCATTTGATGATACAATCAAATCATTTAAGTAACTTAATTAAAAGTTCCCAACAAGTCTGGTCCAAAAGATGCTGTACTGAGTTGAGCATTTTAACATTAAAAACTATGAAACATTTCATCCTTAGGCAGCTCTAAAAGTTTTACGTGGATACAAGAGTTGATTAATTGACAAAATAAATGAAATGCAGTAGGTCAAAGCCTTGATGTGACAACTCACAATCATCTGTTGACCTACAAGAAATAGTCTTTATTAGTATATGAGGTTGATGGCATTCTGAAAGAAATAAAAATGACTGCAATGAACATTGGCTGATATTCATCATGGCATAGGGTATTAAAATAAGGGGTTGCTGTTTGAATGTCAAATGAATATGCGTTTCCGAAAAAAATTATTTTAAAATTCAATGCCAAAAATGTGCCTGTTGTGTAGTTGGAAAAACTGTGTTAAAACTTTATTAGTGCCATTCTGAAACAAAATCGAAGTTCATTAATTTTATATTGATCCTTTAAACAAAAAAGAGACCATAGAGACTCATATAATACAATACACTAATACACAAAATAGTGAGATAGTTTTAAATAGCAACATACATGTCCATTTGTTGTTAGCTGGTTGGAGTACTTCTCTATTTTTGTATTTATTTCACGTGTTGTGAGGAAGCTTACTGTTCTTAACAGCAACATGTGAACTTAAATCTCTTCTTAGTTACAAATGTTGTCAGCACTTTCATTTTATTACACTTAGCAGTACCATAACATTACACTTAGCAGTGCCATATCATCACAGTTAGCGGTACCATATTATCACAGTTAGCGGTATCATATCATTACAGTTAACAGTATCATATCATTAGACTTAACAGTACCATACCATTACAGTTAGCAGTTTCATATCATTACAGTTAGCGGTTTCATATCATTACAATTAGTGGTATCAAAGGTATTGATGAATCACTTTTATACCACTAGTATTTTATATTTTAAAACTTAAATTCTTTGGCTGCATTACACCAAAGAGTTTAGATTTCATTAAACACTTTGAAGCAAGTCGTACACTTTGTACCCTCTTTATTTTAGCCACAGATCATTTTAAAATAATTAATTAATAAAAAAACAAAGATGGGACAATTTATGATTCACTTTGTGAGGCTGATATTTATTACTTTTTAATTACTTTTTTTTAAATAGTTTAAAGGTAAAAAATACACTTTATCCATTTCACCTGTTTAATTTGTACATACAGATTAGATTATTTTAATTTTTCAAATGTGCTTTTTGAATTTATAGCAAACACTTATTTCAATACCATTTCTTAAACCAGTTGGTTTAACCAGTTGGTTTAATCAGATAGACATCATTCATTTTGGTTTCGAGATTATGACTTACAAAATTGTAATTAATCAAAACTTTAGACAGACTTTTAAAATTACGGTAGAGCAAACTAATATCCTTTCTATGTTAGCCACAGTGTGTGTTGTGTTTGAAACAATGGTTTTTATTCTTCATACCACAAGTTTATACCAGCATTTAATCTTCATCTTAACATTTTACAGACCTGTTTACTCTTACGACTTTGGCCTACAATGTACGATTTTGAGGTGTATACATTATATATATACTGCATGTTTATTTTTTACTATTAAGATAAAGTATTGAACGATTTTGTGATGACATTGTACCATTTTAAGAGTTTGAGGGTAAACAGGTCTGATTTTATAGCAGTAATCAATCTTCATTCTACAAGTTATAACAGTATCATTTTACAAGTTATAACAGTATTTATTCTTGAGACCATTGGCCATGGGGATGTCTTCTGTCCTTTACAGTGCCATACCTATGTCATCTGGACAGAATCGTTGCAGGATTGCGAACAGAGGACAACAAAACAGCCATTTAAAGGCCATCCAAAAGTGAGAGTGGGCTGTATCAGGATTTTCCCAGGTTTTTTTTCAACCTACATCGACCAGATCATAATTAGAAATGGTGGGTCGGCTACTCCTGTCAGCTAGTTTATATGACATTGCAATGGGTTGCAGTTTTTAGTTTCTCTCTTGTACAGCAGTCAATGTATTTAGAAGGTCATCTTGTCATACAATTAATTCAAAATACCCATATCTAAATGTTTAGACCTAATTTAACTTACCAACATCTAGAATATAACAAAAAAATGCTCTCCTGTTTGTCAGGCTCAACAAAATGCTATTATAAAAAAGAATAACACAAAAGATTTTTAAAAAAAAGATTTACCCCTCCCACAGGTTGTTCTTCCTCCTCCTCCTCCTCCTCTTTCTTCTCTGCGTCTTTATTCTCCGGCTCCGTGTCCTCCATCACCACCTGCAAAAGCATTTTTTTTAGCAAGTCCATTTTTACCGACAACAACAATTTTATCTACCGAGGGAACATAATCATACACTGAAGACCAGCTCATCTATCTATCCCAGAGTCATCTAATCTATCTATCCCAGAGTCGTTCATTTTAACAGATGGACTGATCAACTCACAAAAGAAGCTATGCTGGTACAGTTCCAGTTTCCACGGCAACACCGTGTGTTGCCTGGATATCCTTATAATCAATAAATTAAGAGCAGAACTTTACAGAACACAAAAACAAAAGAGCTCTTCAAAAAGAAACAACAAAACAAACCCCACCAATGTCAGTAAGGAATATTGGAATAAGAGGGTAGTTGGTTTTCCTGTTGTTGTACAGACTTTTCTATTCACAGCTTTGTCCTGCTCTTTTGTGGGGCCACACGTTTTGTACATTTTAAAAGCAATTAATTTTTTTTCTCTGCCTCACACTTTTCTCCTTTAAAAATGACAGATTTTATTCAGAGGATCATATCTCCCCCCCCCCCCCCCCCTGCAGTATCCATCTTAAATCTAGTTGGATGTAGTGGCTGGGTAGAGGCTCCCAGTTGTTCTTGACCTGGGGAAAAGACAAACAATTGATTCAAATCTCATAGAAAAATAACAGTCTTCATTATATACAACCCCTAAAAACAAAGTTTTTCTTGAAGTCCTTTATAAAATGTGTATTGAGCAATGAGGGGTAGGGCTGAACATTGGACAAAACATTCATTCAAGTAATGCACTTTTTAAAATTTCAATTAGTAATTAGTGCCGCGCCCCCCCCCCCCCCCCCCCCCCCCCCCGCACTTGCGATATTTTTAAGAATCTCATTTAGCGCAGTTATCTGGAATTTTATTTCGTGACATCAGTGTCATCCTATTTCCTTCATCATCCCTTCTTGAAAAAAAAGGAAAAACTGATTTTTTAGGGGTTGGGGTTGGAGGGTGGGGCTGAACATTTGATGGAATGTGTTGTCATTGGCAACAAGTCTATGTGCCAAGTTTCAGCTTGATAGGTTGACGGGAAATGGGCCCGTTAGCAGTCTGAAGATTTTGCCACACACCCAGACAAATAGAACGAAACACACTAACAGAAGTGAAGTTAATAGAAAGGATTGAAAAATGGATAAAATAATTGACAGCATGTGTTTAAAACAAAACGTAACCACAATCAAACATTAACTGCAAATATAAATAAAAATTGCTTAAACTACAGATATGTACCTTTTCAATATCCCACTCTGTCCAGTTATGAATGTTACGCTGTATGCACGTTGAAATATCTGTCTTAATTTCACCAACGTACACCTGAAATAACACAATAGATTTTTTTCTCCATTTAAATAGATTAAACAAGTGTTATTTTAAAACTACATAAATCTATTTATTCCCTTCTCTTTACCCCCCCCCCCCCAACCCCCAAAAAAGACTATAATTTTGAAACTATACCTGGAAGCCTTTGGATTTGGCATAACTCCAGAATTCTGAGAAGTGTGCCACCTTTTCATTTGTTGCATCAAGGATTATGAATGGGAAAAATCCATCATCCACAGTCTTTTTAAAAGACTTTAAAAGGCTTTGCCTGTAGGCTTCCTCTAGGGCTTGCTCATATTCATACTCCATCACCTAAACAACAAGGTTAACACGTTAGTCAAAACAAATTCAGGTACATACAGTAAATCATAATCTTCACATACAAGTTTTTGTTCTCTGTATGTGCGAATGATGAAGCTTCCTCAGATCTACGGATAGATAGTCAAACAAGTTTTTTTTGGAAGAAACAGACCTGTTTACTCTTACGATTTTGGCGTACAATGGACGATTTTGAGGTGTAAACATTATATATAATGTATGTTTATTTTTTACTATAAATATACAGTATTGAACGATTTTGTGATTATATTGTACGATTTTAAGAGTTTGAGGGTAAACAGGTCTGAAGAAATAAATTAATAAATTTAAAAAAAACATATTTCTTCTCAAATTAGCCTTTGCTTTAGGTAGGAGAGGATTAAATATATATAAAATATGATCCCACCTCAGATTGCACAATGCGCCTTGAATAATGCCAACTCAAGTTATTCTTTAAGTAAGCTGTTACTAATCTATCCCATAACATTTTATGATTATCCTTTATGAGTGACAAGCTAAACTATTCTCCGATGGTCACGCACCTTCTTCTTGACCTTCTTGCCCGTGTCAGGATCAATGACTTCCTTGTCTGTTTCAACCATGAAGTAATCATCCAGGCATAGCATGCGTGGAGCTGAGCCCCCATAGCTTGTTTCTTTTTCCTGGGGAAATAATACTGCATGCAGTAAAGCACCGGTTTTCTGCTGATTTATGGAGGCTGCTGAGACTAAAACAGTGTTGCGTACTCTAATGTATTTGATAAATGACATAAAAGTTACTGATTTTCTTCTCAAATATGAGGTTTGAATATATTTCCATTTTCCAAATAACATATCATGACTGATTAAATCAGCCTCTCTCAACCTGTGGGTAGCGACCCTTTCTCAGAGGTCGCCTAAGGCCATTGGAAAACACATATACTCTACAGTTATGAAGCAGCGGCGAAAAATAAATTTGTGGTTAGGGGTCGCCACAACATGAGGAACTGTACTAAAGGGTCGCGGCATTAAAAAGGTTGAGAACCCCTGGATTAAATGGATCATTCTATACTTATTTTTTTGTAGTAATTATAAGCAACAAACTTATTATTCATGATGCCTCATGTAATAAAAAATTTTTGTTGCAGAAAACACAACACTGTCAAGAATTTACTTTTCAATCTTAGCTCTTTATTTATAGCAGAAAGATTTACCATGTTGTCGGAGAACAAGTAGCATGATTTTGTGTATTACTTAATTGTTACTGTAACAAATGATGATCAGGGAAATATCTGACCTACCCTAATAAGTTTGCTAACATAAGTTTTTCCACTTCCAGGCAGGCCCCGAATAATGGTTACAATTTGAGGTGGTCTACTCTCTCTTACAGGTGGACAAAGAAGATCTTCAATCTGGTCAAACAGAACATTGATAGTTTATCAAAAATTTTAGAACCACTGAGATGAAAGTTAGGACAAAATAATTAACCATACTTATATTGTAGTATATAGTGATAACTTTAATTTTTTTTAAAATCTCAGATATCAGCCACTTGCAAACCTAAATTTCCAAGTAATTGAGTAACAATATATTTTCTTCATGACAAATATTTATACAAGTTCATTTTCAAATAGATGCTTTATTGCTATCAGAGATTTCAAAACTGAGTATTCCCATAAAAAGATAAAAATTTAAATGTTTAACAAAAATTATTATACAACATTACATGCTAAAACACACTACAACTATTGGAATTTAATTTGGTTTCTTAAAGTATTTTATTGAATTCATCATATGTCTTACTTTGACAGTTTCCGACGTTGCAGCTGAGGTCACCGTGTTGGTTGCCCTTGATGGTGACGGCGGCGCTGGAGACTGGCCTCTGGCAAAACGATCTCTGTGAACATGTAAATGTGCAGGGCTGAAAATATTTATTTATTTATTTAGGCATTTTTATATAGCGCTCACCTTAAAGCTCTAAGCGCTTTACAATTATTAAAAACATGTAAACTAACTACAATAAAAATGAGACACTAGGATAGTAACTATATACTATACAAACAATTAAAATGGCTATAAAACGAGGACAGTTTGGCACATTTTGGCCTATACTACAGGATTAACCCGAGACAGAAAATGAGGCAGGGCAAGGAGGGTGCATCACAGGTCATAGGCGGACCTAAACAGATGGGTTTTAAGGGACTTTTTAAAAGTGGACGAGGTTTCACAATGACGGATATGGAAGGGGAGCTGGTTCCAGAACGTGGGCCCATGGAAGTAGAAGGAGCGTTCACCGATGGTCTTAGTTTTGGTAACAATTAGACTACTTGAGCCATTCTGTGATCATCTTTGGCTAAGGGCTCTGAGATATATGGATATGTCTGAAGAGCAACATTGACACAAATGTCGGTCAAATGTTCAAAAGTGTAACTTTTGAATTTTTCATAATTCTCTTTTGCTATGAGAATGTTTGAAGATGAACAACCAATAACTACACAATTCTTAGAGTCTAGCTGGCCACAGGATAGAGAAGCTGGTGGGGTCATGTGTTGACACCTGTCAGATTTAGACTGAGGCAGTGTAATGACATAGCCTGTCAGATTTAGACTGAGGCAGTGTAATGACATAGCCTGTCAGATTTAGACTGAGGCAGTGTAATGACATAGCCTGTCAGTTTTAGACTGAGGCAGTGTAATGACATAGCCTGTCAGATTTAGACTGAGGCAGTGTAATGACATAGCCTGTCAGATTCTCACTTTGAATGCTATTTTCAATACCATGATGTTAAGCCTTCATTTCCAATATCCTTTACCCTATGTTAAATATACGTAAATCTCAACATACTCTTTCATTATAACAGACAATTTGACATAACTAACCTCTCTCCTCTGAACAAATCTTTCTCATCTCTCCCGTAAGCATCTCGAGAATAGATATCCCTGGCTGTCAAACCAGAATCAGCAAATCTGTCAGATAGTAGGTCACCGCCTCGACCACCTCTGACATCATCATCACCACCAGTCCGCGAGTATTCCAAATTTCTGCTACTGTAGGAATCCTCTCTTCTGCTGCCATACAAGTCACCTCCTCTGCTGCCGTAAGGTTCATCAAGTTTGCTGTAGCGTTGACGGTCTTCAGATCTAGTCATGGGTAAATCATCACTCCTGCTTTTATAGGTTGATTCTAAATCTGAAGAAAGCTCACCTCGTCTGTCCTCATCCATGTATCGAGAACTACGCCGGCCGATGTACATTTCCTCCTGATCACTTGTTATTCTGTCCTTGGATCTGTTGTAACTGTAATCTAGGTCCCCCTTGATGTCCCCACGACCCAGACTTTCAAGTCGCATGTCCTCATCTGTCTCTTCTAGCAGTCTGTAACCTCCTGGCCGACCTCCAAAACTTTGAGATGATGAATCATGACCTTGACCTCTTAGACTTCTGTCTACATCTCGGTTTCGGAGATCCATATCCCGGGCCCCCTTACTTGTGTCAGATTCTCCCCAGTCCTTGGCACTGTATTCTTTCTCAACTGGCCAATCACTTCTTCCTGCTCAATAAAATAAATAAGACATTAGAACGATGACACAAGAAATCCAATCATGTTGTTAAATGCAGAAATCTTATTTGATGGTTGCATTGTTGCATGAGCTTGCGTGGAGATACTGATCTTGCATAGAGCCCCCGTGGTGGTGGATAGGGGAAGCCCACCAGATATGTTAGGTACTGGGGAATTAAAATACACGGGGCGGACCAAAATCAGAACCTACTGCCTTGTAGGAAGTGGAGGGATCCACAGAACCTACTGCCTTGTAGGAAGTGGAGGGATCCACAGAACCTACTGCCTTGTAGGAAGTGGAGGGATCCACAGAACCTACTGCCTTGTAGGAAGTGGAGGGATCCACAAAGGTTAGGGAACCTTACCCAAAAATTAAAGCGGGTACATAGAGAGCTGTAAGGGGCAGGCCCCCCCCCCCACACACACACAGACGGTTGCGCGCAGGGCTAACAATCCGGCCGTTTAAAAAAAAAAATATGACAGCCAAACATAAAAATAAATCCCAGAATGATTTCAATTGAATTCGACCCATGCCTGGATATGGACATGCGGAGAAGGATCTACAGCAGATGGGAATCCAAGCATGGAAAAGAACAGCATCAATTATAAGGTCTAACTAAATATCTAAATCAGTATTAGCTAAGTTTGCCTGTCTCAGTACTAATGTTTGCTGTCGAAGGCTCCTTAACAGAAACGTAAAATTTGTGTGTATAGTTTTCATCTGGTTTTTCTCTGCCCTGTGTTAGTGTGTATATTAAGTATTTCAATAGCTACATGTACATACCTTAGTAGGGCATTGGTAACTTCTTAATGACACAGTCGAAATACTGGTTTTGGTGTCTTCTTGACCGTCCACCTCAACTGGTTCCGACACCGTTGTCTAGGGTCAACTACAACTGCTACAGCACCCATCACGGCAAAACTTGCGAATAAGGACGGCAGCAACACTTCATGAAATAATAATCCGCCTTTCATCTCGACAATCACAGGTGTATCACCACACCACTTGACAAAGGGGAATACTGTCAACTCCCAGCATACAACCTGGGAACTAATTGAACTAGCTACACATTTCTGTGCTGCTGTAAAAATTAAACTAAACTTTCAATACATCAACTTATCGTGAACTCAAAGGGAGCTAAATGTGCTCCTGTGTGTTCCATGTGAACTAGCCGTACTCTCGAACTCACACACCTTATACTCAACACACTTGTTTATAGGAATTCCGTGTCATCCAATCACAATTTAGACACTAAACTACAGACTCGTGATGACAAGTTCACACCCACAACAGTGAATCTCATAACCTTGACACACAGTCCTCCCCGTATTTTTTTTTTAATCTTACGAGTTGGTTCAGGAGCTAACAAACACATGTTCTGATAAGGGAAGCCTTGTTTGAGTTGAATACAGTCACCACAATTGCACGTTTGATAATGTACCTGTGGTAGCTTTTGTGCCAACTTTCCATTAGATACACAGTACACTGTGCTCATTATTTCATTAACTAGAGACATTGTCATAGCGAGCCTACCTTATATTACCATGAATGTATAAAGAAGAATCCAAACTATTATATAGTACAGGTATATAAGCGGTTAAAATACAAATTTGATCTGAGGCTTTTATCTTCAAATATCTTAATGTATGAAAATGCATTACAAAATATAAAGTAGGGCCTATGTGTATAACCATTGCCAAGTGCCCAATTAATGTCTTCCAGGGAGAAATTTGCCAGAAGGTTAAACAGTATTGATGCTCTTCCAACATCTGATTTCTGGGTCTAAATAAATTACATCTAGAGTCTAGAGTAAATTTATAAATTAATTTGACGAATATAATTTCATTGAAATAATAAACGAAATGTTTAAAGACAGATGTTGCATATAGATAGGCCCCTATATATATAAATAATATATTTTGTTTTCATTATGTTTATGTTAAAAATTTGTTTACAGGCGCGAGACCTGGCAATGCTGTCAACACCACCTTATGGATGGATATTTTATGACCCCGTAAGTAAAAAGCAAAACAATATAATAAGATCTTTCAATATTTGAATTAGGCACACCTATAAGCCTATAAGAGTGGTCCCGATTTTAAAAATGGTAGCAACAACCACCTTCTTGACAGGAAGTTAATGGTACAACTTACACTGGCTGCAACTACAACATAATGTATGTAATTTATTGTAATACGAGCAAGTTATGTCACTTGAGGCTTTATAATTTATAGAGTAGAGTCTTTTTTTAAAAATTACATTGTTTGCCAGGAGAAACAAAAATAATTTTAATTACTGATTATGAGCATGGATATTTAATTGTCCAACATTTGGGGGGGGGGGGCATCCATTAACTCTGGGAAAATAGGATAGGCTTACCTCATAACGCGATTTTTGTTTGAACATACAAGACCGACTGGCGACTTTGAACATGAGACTGGTTTAGACAGACCCTATTTTGAATATGTCACAAATGATTCTATTATTTCACCAATTACAAATTTGCAATGATGGCAAAACTTAACAAAAGAATTCGATAAAGTTTACTTTATAGTTGTATTTTTATTTTTTACTCTATTCAGCAAATAATTGAATTACTATATTATGAACTTTTCAAACAGAAATTTCAAAAATCTTCCAATACGTTAACCTCCTTCTACTAAACGACCAGTCCCAGACTACTAGTGGCTAGTTGTCATGAGGCAGTAAGCTGAGAACCTTTATCAGGAGTGCATGAGTAATTTATAAGTAGTATAACTAAAAGATTTATTTTGATTCAGCTAACATCAAATCTCTTCTTTGTCCTAGGGAGATGAAATAAAATATGTCTTCAGGCTGTATGATGATATATTTTGCAACTTCACTGTTCTAACCCTGCTGCCCTACAACTTCACACTGGAAAGCTATGGCTATTCGAGGCTAGAATTTGCACTGTCCAGCGATGCCTTGAGGCTGGTGACTACGGCTTACAAGGTCATAGGAGAGAGTGTTCCAGGCGAACGACACACATCATTGAAAAATGACACCATGAGTATGAGAGATTTACTGAACAGGGCCATAAAAAACGTAAGTAACATGTATGAATGGAGATTCATGGGTGGGTTTAAAATTTTATTTTAATGAGGTTAGTAGTTATTTTTTTTATTTTTTGTTTACCCAAGAGATTTTGATATTAAAAAAAAAACATGTTTTGAAATACACATATATTTTAATTTAATGGTCTTGCTTTTTAATTTTAAACCTAAATATATCTTTTATGCTACATTTATTTATATTGATTTATCCAATAAAGTTTTTTTTAATTTTTTTTTATTACTTTAGAAATGTTATTTTCCTCTTATACTTCTTAAAATGTTTGTGAAAATAATTAACTATCTTGCAGAAATGTAACAAATACCTCATATTATAAAATATATTCATAAAAAATATTGTTTAAATTTTTTTTAAAAATCATAGCTCAAAATGGCGCTAAAAATATATTTAATTAACAATTTTAAAACAGAAAAAATTGACATTGCTAAGGTATCTGTTGAAAAAGGTCTAATTAACATTTTTAAAATGACAGAACAATGGATCAGGCCTGACAGGGATTACAGAGTTTAATGAAAATGGACGAAGGAACAACTTTTCTCTGATGTTAACTTCTGTCACAGGAACTGACAGTTACTTGGTAAACCTTTTTTTTTTTTCTTTTCTCGAAAAAATTATTTTATTGCCTATATTTCATATTAATCATTACAATTATGTTATAATTACAACATTATGTACAATTCTGAAACATCATGGGTTCAGCGAGCAGAAATATGAACCACTTTTAGACACTGATAGAAAAAAATGACGGATCTGTTTTAAAACTTGACATCACTGATAGATACTGATACTAAAAATTGCAGCTAGACATATGTAGTAAAAATGAAGCAGTTTAAATAATTACTTAAAATTGATTACATTTGTTGCAGCTGTTCGTGGCACTATTATATAAATATTTTAATCATAACACATTTTACATTTTATTTTATTTTTTTAAACTTAATTTTTTTTAAAAAAAACAACTTGAATAAGCATGTGAAATTTAAATGTCTCATAAAAAAAGCTTAAAGTTGCATGCTCTAAAAAATATCTAGGTTGTTTTGTTTTAAAGTTGAAAATAGTGTTGCACTAACATTTTCATGTTTTCTTATGCAGAGAGGACACTGGTATCATGACTATGAGCCATATGTCCTAAAGAAGCAGCTACAATTTTATGATGAGAGCCACCATTTAAATGGGACCAGCACACCTTTCCCGCTCAAGGGGAGAACAGCCCAAGTTGTCATGATAGAGGTACTCTCTTGGCTTTTAGAGTTGTCATAATAGAGGTACTGCCTTGGCTTTTAGAGTTGTCATGATAGAGGTACTGTCTTGGCTTTTAGAGTTGTCTTGATAGAGGTACTGTCTGGCTTTTAGAGTTGTCATGATAGAGGTACTGTCTTGGCTTTTAGAGTTTTCATGATAGAGGTACTGCCTTGGTTTTTAGAGTTTTGATAATAGAGGTACTTTCTTGGCTTTTTGAGTTTTGATGATAGAGGTTCTGTCTTGGCTTTTAGAGTTTGTTGTTCAGCATTTGGTTTTGTGATTGAATCAAGGTTTTGTATTCAAATGATTGTCATATATTTGATACAACATTTTGATAATCTGGATCAAATTTGTTGATGCAGTTGATAGATTTGATAAAACTTGGTGATACAATTGAAAAAATTGATAAAACTTGTTGATACAGTTGATAGATTTTTATAAAACTTGTTGATGCAGTTGATAGGTTTGATAACTTGTTGATACAGTTAATAAAACTCATTTATACATTGATGAAGTTGATAAAATTTGTTGAAATGAATCATTCTACCTAATTTATCAATCTTAATCCAACATAACAAGAGCAGACAATTCTTAGCATAATTTTAAAACATGTTTATTATTATTACGCAGGAGAAACCATTTACAATGCTAAAGCGGGACCACATGTTGCTGAGAGGCAATAACAGATTTGAAGGTTTTGCTGTGGAGCTAATCAAAGATATTTCTAAGATGCTGGAGTTTGACTATGAGATCTATCTGGTCAATGATGGGAAGTTTGGCAATAAAATGGCCAACGGAGAGTGGAATGGAATGATTGGAGAGCTCCTGGCAGGGGTGAGTAATTTGATCTGCCATTATGCTGAGTGTTGTCTTCTCAACTTGAAAAGAAGTTTTGACATATCAACTATTTTTTTTTGTTCAAAACTGGAAAGAAATATTATTTCACTTCATGAAATTGAAAATGTAGCCTCTCTTTCCCCCTCTCCCCCAAATCGAATGATGAAAAGCTTTGAGTAAGGAAAGCTAAGAAAAAGCATAAAGACCAATTAATGTATTGTGAGAACCTTTCCAGAAATTGGCTGAGCTTTTTGAAATGTGTTATTATAAAAACTAATGTTACACATCGCATGCAAACTTTCTTTCAGCAATAATTTCAAAGTTACAGTAGATTGGGGGCCACTGCAGCTACATTCTGGCCTATTGGGGGCAATGCATCTACAGTCTACGAGGGGGGGAGGGGGGGGCAGTAAATTAAAATTGCCTTTCTATAATGAGGGGAATTGTGGCCTTGCAAAGCTTGAGATGATCAATTGTTGACTATCTCTTTGCTCTGTACAAATATCTTTTGTTGTTTACTTCAAACCTTCATTTGATGTCTATTTCCAGAATGCCACCATGTCTGTGGCACCCCTGTCCATAAACGCCGAGAGGGAGGAAGCCATCGATTTCACCAAGCCTTTCAAAACGCGCTACATCTCTGTGCTGATGAAGATCCCGACGAGGGAGACGTCCTACTTTGAGTTTCTCAACCCCCTGTCCCCCATCGTGTGGATCTGCACCCTCTGTGCCTTCGTTATCGTCAGCATCATCCTGTACGCCTTGGAGCGGGTGGGGAGGAGCAAGACGGAGGGCGCCGACAGCCTTGGGATAACAGTGCGCGAGTCCTTCTGGTTCATCTTCGGCTCCTTGTTGCAAGGTGTGTCCTTTGGTTTAGAAATATCCCAAATTGATGTAAAACAGACTTTGCACGTGTTTGATTTCAAACTTGTGCTTTCCAATATTATTTTTCTTTTAACCATGCACCAAGTATGATAGAAGCAGAAAATAACTTATGTGAGGGAACAACCTTTATTATTATAAGAGATAAGATAAGATTCTTTATTAATCCAAGTAAGTTGAAATGTTTTTTTGATTACTTTGTACATCTTCATTTTCAACACAAAAAATAAAAAAATATATTTCAACCAAGACAAAATTTTACAAGTACAATAATTTCAACACAAGACATCTAAAGTATTCTCTAGCACAGAAATCAGCCATCAATGAACTCCTTTAGTTATAATAATGCCTTAATTAGTGATCATTAGTAATTGCTGGGAGAGCACGCTGGTAAAGTCTTACAGACTAGGGAATTAAAGAATTTGTACATCTTTGGGTCCTAGCTTTAAGAGAAAGAATTCGCCCTGATTGAGTTTATCTTAGGTATCTGTGATGAAGTGGTTGGAATGTATAGTCAAAATTTGTTTAGTTTTACAACAGCATTTTTCTTCAAATAGTTGTTCCAGTGAAGAATGTTTAGTTGTGTGATATTACTAGCTTTCTTGATTAGTCTACTTAATTGGTTTTATAATGTCTACTTAATTGGTTTTTTAATGTCTACTTAATTGGTTTTTTAATGTCTACTTAATTGGTTTTTTAATATCTACTTAATTGGTTTTTTAATGTCTACTTAATTGGTTTTTTAATGTCTACTTAATTGGTTTTTTAATATCTACTTAATTGGTTTTTGATGTCTACTTAATTGGTTTTTTAATGTCTACTTAATTGGTTTTTGATGTCTACTTAATTGGTTTTTGATGTCAGACTATGAATTTTCTAGCTATTCAAAGTCATACAGTGAATGATATATTTGCAGATTTTTTACAGTGTAATAAAGATCTATAGAAAAAATATTAATATTAAATGATCAATTTCACTTGGAATTACATGCATAATGAATATATACAAATATAATATGTATATATATATTTTATTATTACCTATAGTATACTTGTTTGTATGGCAGGAAATACTGACTCAACTCCATCAACCATTCCTGGTAGAATACTTACAAGCGCTTGGTGGTTCTTTGCCCTCATTCTAATCTCTTCCTACACTGCCAACCTTGCTGCATTCCTAACAGTGAAGAAAATTAATACACCAATCAAGGTATAATGGATATTCCCCTTGACATTTGTTCTCATTGTTAAATTTATGTTTTTAAGGGATTAAAGAATGATTTGCTAAAAGCTGTGCAAGTCAGTGGTTCTAAAACTAATTTTGATCAATGTTAGGCTTGGCCTAAATGTAAAGCATCACACCTTATCAATTCTTAATGTGTCATTTTTAATAAATTTACGGAGCCACTGCAGGAGCATTATCTACCCTTGGATCCCTGGTTAAGAACCGGTGGTCTAAAGTAAATTTTTGTACATGCCTACATCATTTCAAGTCAGTGACTGTCCTAATTTTTGTACATGCCTACCTCATTTCAAGTCAGTGACTGTCCTAATTTTTGTACATGCCTACATCATGTCCAGTCAGTGACTGTCCTAATTTTTATACACTCCTACGTCATTTCAAGTCAGTGACAGACCTGGCTCAACAAACCAAGATCAAGTATGGGACAGTCAAGGACAGTGGAATCATGTCATTCTTCAAGAATACCAACATCGAACATTTCTCCAAAATGTGGGCACAGATGTCTGAGATTGACCCAGACTCTATGGTGCACAACACAACGGAAGGTTTCAAAAAGGTCAACTTTGTGAATTATGTTTCAATATTATTTCATTTAAGATAGTTCAATAGTACTTTATCTAAAATCATGTGCAATAAATTTGAATAATGACATTTTCAAATTAATATACCATAATTATTTTGCATGTGGATCTTAATTTTTAAGTTAAAACTGTGTATTATATTTTTAAAGATAACGTTTTAAGTTTAAAAATCATTCTCAATGTAAAAATCTAATCACCTTATGCTGGTTAGTAAGTCCTTAAATTGAAAGTTTATTGATTCAGCAATTTACTGAATTTTATGTCTACTCATATCGGCTAACATAACAGTTTATAAAATTTATCATATCCAATGTCAATGGTTTTTTTTTCTTTTCTTATTCTCATATAAAGATTACTTCAGATGAACTTTAACCTAAGCACATGACATAAGTTATTAAGTTTGCTGAAACAGTCTTTCTCCTTCATTTCACCCTTAAAATGCACACTTGCAGGTCAAAGATGGCAACTATGCATTTTTCTGGGACACAACAGTCAACAAGTACCAGACAATTATAGACTGTGAGGTCATGGAGATTGGACCCCCCTTTGACCCCAAGGGCTTCGGCATTGGAGTTCCTCCGGGGGCCACTTATAAAGAGGAGCTCTCCATGGCCATACTGAGGCTCAGTGACAGAGGACGTCTACATGAATTAGAAACAGAGTAAATATATTCATTTTTCTGTGTATTTCTGGTATAGTTTTTTTTTAATTACTTTGATTACATTTGTTACTGACAGGTAAAGTGAGATTTTGTTACTGACAGGTAAAGTGAGATTTTGTTACTGACAGATTTTTCTCCTGTAGGCATACAAGAAATGAAGTAGAGCATGAGAAGATCCTCAATAATAATACATATTTAAGCTCAGGGGTTCCTTGTTTTTCTTTTATATTAGGGATTGTTTACCATTGCCTTTGTACTTTTGAATATTAAATGTTACCTTTAGTTGTACTGTAAAAAATGTTCATATTTACTGAACTTAGCCACCATATTATCAATCAAATGTACAAGGATTCATTGTTACCTTTAGTTGTACTGTAAAAAATGTTCATATTTACTGAACTTAGCCACCATATTATCAATCAAATGTACAAGGATTCATTTGGTCCCAAAATAATTTACATTTTTTTTGTTGAAATTTTGGGACTCATTGGTAATAGAAGTTTTATTTTAAGCCAATGTAACATTACTGTATTGTAACACTTTAAAATATGTGTATATGTTATGTGTAATGTCTTCAAACTATGGTTAAAGGTTACCAGTATGCCAAACATTAAAAAAAATTGTTTATCTTTTGAATTAGCTTTCTGCTTCATTTGACATCAAAAACAAAGCTATCAAATTTTGTTAATGTCTCCATTAGAATGCTGTGAATTTGCCATGCTCAGGAATTCAGATAAACTATCACTTCCGTTTTTCTGATTAATATTTATAGGATTTACAATACTTCCAATTGTGTGCTACCTGTTTCAGGTGGTGGGACAGAGGGACGTGCCCTGACCTCAGCAAAACTTCCACAGACGAGACAGCCTCTCTTCAGATAGAAAATGTCGCAGGGGTCTTCTTCATCCTCGTGGGTGGCATAATCATCGCAGCCATTGTTTGCTTGGGTGAATATTTTGCGAACGCCATGATCAAAGCGTCGAAGCTGGTGAGTACACTTGAATGCAAATGTTCTCTGGTGGGAGTGGTATTTTATTTTTAGCATGCCTCTTGCACCTATAATGACACATTATTTTGTCATGTAATGAGATCATTAAGGCTATCTGTTAAATTATTATAAAATAAATAGAAGCATGCCAACTGTAATCGGGGGGGTGTGTGCTTGTCGTTAAGTCAGTTTTGTAAACTTCTGGAATGAAAAATACGTACTGAGAAGAAGTTAAAACAAGTGTGAATATTTCATCTTTGTCATTGTCAGGTCAAGAGCATGTCCTTTTTGCATTTTTTGGTCTCACAGAGCAACTTATCTTAATAGACACACAAAAGGGGGGGGGGGATATTTTAGAAAATTGGATCTACATCACCACTGGTGTTTATGTATTGATAAATAATTAGGAAGATATAGATATGATATCGTCAGTCCAGTTTAGGTAAACAAAAATTTGGGAAGGATACAATTCCAAAGCAATAAGGAAAATTCTGATCAAATTGAATCTAATCACAGCACACACAAGTATCTGGGCTTAGTCACTTTTTTTAGAGGTGTCGCTGGAGTAGTCTCTGGTCTCATTCATTCCACAGCCACCTGTGTGAAAAACATACGGTACTTGAAAAGAAAATATCCTTTTTATTAAAGAAGCAAAATCTTCTGTAACTTTCAAGATAGTTTAATGGAATGGATTCCATTCTCTTTATTACATTTGGTAAATTTTATGTTTCTATATCAAATACAGGCTACAATGTCTTAAATTATTTTATTTTAAATGGTATAGAGTAAATTTTATTTTCCCAATTAATTTCAAAAAGTAAATAAATAGTGAATCAAGATATTTTTGGGCTTCAAAAAAAAACAATAATAATTTAATAGACAGTTGGCAAGACGCCTTCCTCAGCAGACAATACAATAATAAAAAACAGATAGATTTTAATAAAACTTATGTTATTGAAGATCTCAATAAAGCCAGTTTAGGTCAAAGTTCACAACAGAAAGCACTCTATGAACTCTACATTATTGATGTATATATTTATAATCTCAAGAAACATCTCCTTTTATACTTTTTATTTCCCTCTGGCATTCATTATGCCGTAGCTTTGTTTTTTCTATTTTTATGGCAATTTTATATTTCAAAATAATTAAATAAGTAAAGACTTATTGAAAGTCAGGCTGGCCGCCGATGAAAGTGCCGGACTCTGCCAAAGAGAGCAAAACTTTACATGACACAACTTTGTACTTTCACCAGGCAAAGGGTAAAAAAGTCAACGATAAAACCAAGGATAAGTACTCTGTTGCCGTTCAGGATCCAGGAGAAAAAGACAGCTTTATTTGACATTAGTTTGCCATGGGGCACACTGCATGCGGCATGGTTTGTTAAACTCTTCTTTTGTTTTCATTTAAACCTTCATACGGCATGGTTTGTTCAACTCTTCTTTTGTTTTCATTTACACCTTCCTTTCTCACCTGTTTTCATTTACACCTTCCTTTCTCACCGGTTTTCATTTACACCTTTCTTTCTCACCGGTTACAAACAGCAGGGCCGGGGTTAACCACTGAGAACAATTACAAGCAAACGTTTTTGGTCATCAAGGAGGGAGGGCATCATCAGATTTGTAATGAAACAGTGGAACGAGGTATGTGGAAGCTTGAAATATAAAAGACAGGACAATAAATGAAGAATGTTTCATCTAAGATCTTTCCTTGGTAGACTGGACAAATGAAGAATGTTTCATCTAAGATCCTTCCTTGGTAGACTGGACAAATGAAGAATGTTTCATCTAAGATCTTTCCTTGGTAAACTGGACAAATGAAGAATGTTTCATCTAAGATCCTTCCTTGGTAGACTGGACAAATGAAGAATGTTTCATCTAAGATCCTTCCTTGGTAGACTGGACAAATGAAGAATGTTTCATCTAAGATCCTTCCTTGGTAGACTGGACAAATGAAGAATGTTTCATCTAAGATCCTTCCTTGGTAGACTGGACAAATGAAGAATGTTTCATCTAAGATCCTTCCTTGGTAGACTGGACAAATGAAGAATGTTTCATCTAAGATCCTTCCTTGGTAGTCTGGACAAATGAAGAATGTTTCATCTAAGATCCTTCCTTGGTAGACTGGACAAATGAAGAATGTTTCATCTAAGATCCTTCCTTGGTAGACTGGACAAATGAAGAATGTTTCATCTAAGATCCTTCCTTGGTAGACTGGACAAATGAAGAATGTTTCATCTAAGATCCTTCCTTGGTAGACTGGACAAATGAAGAATGTTTCATCTAAGATCCTTCCTTGGTAGACTGGACAAATGAAGAATGTTTCATCTAAGATCCTTCCTTGGTAGACTGGACAAATGAAGAATGTTTCATCTAAGATCCTTCCTTGGTAGACTGGACAAATGAAGAATGTTTCATCTAAGATCCTTCCTTGGTAGTCTGGACAAATGAAGAATGTTTCATCTAAGATCCTTCCTTGGTAGACTGGACAAATGAAGAATGTTTCATCTAAGATCCTTCCTTGGTAGACTGGACAAATGAAGAATGTTTCATCTAAGATCCTTCCTTGGTAGACTGGACAAATGAAGAATGTTTCATCTAAGATCCTTCCTTGGTAGTCTGGACAAATGAAGAATGTTTCATCTAAGATCCTTCCTTGGTAGACTGGACAAATGAAGAATGTTTCATCTAAGATCCTTCCTTGGTAGACTGGACAAATGAAGAATGTTTCATCTAAGATCCTTCCTTGGTAGACTGGACAAATGAAGAATGTTTCATCTAAGATCCTTCCTTGGTAGACTGGACAAATGAAGAATGTTTCATCTAAGATCCTTCCTTGGTAGACTGGACAAATGAAGAATGTTTCATCTAAGATCCTTCCTTGGTAGACTGGACAAATGAAGAAACAGCAAGAAATAGAAAGTAGTCCAAAAAAACTTAAGTCTAAGTTCACCGTTATTGTTAGTACCAGAAGTGGATTTTTCCAAAACCCAGATTACAGGAATATTCCAAGCTTCTAGATACCTTGTTCCACTATTCCCTTCACACATCTTGAACAGGGTCCTTGAGTTAGATTGATACCAACCTTTGACCCGTAATGTGGAAAACTGCAGATGTGCAACTGAACCAGATCCATGACTAGGGACATTAAATACAAAAATTACTTATTTCTACAGTGTTAACAAAGTAATGATATAAAAAGGTAAATACAGAGATGGGACTAAATGGATTGGGATAACTAGCATCATTCAGATGTTGATAGCCTCTGAAGTTCTTAATCCCGCCCTGACTGTTAATATTATCTTATTATCCCAGCACTTTTCCTCTGTCTTGCACTTTTTTAACATTGATTATTATTTACGACTAAATTTCATCAAGTTTTTAAACAAATGAAAATGGTTGACTATTTGTGCATTTATTTTTTTCTGAAAAGGCCAGTTGTATTATTTTAAAATAATAAGATTAAGATGTGGTCATTTAGATTATTTCAGTGCTGTTTCATGAGGTCATTTAGATTATTTCAGTCCGTTTCATGTGCCAAATAATTACCAAATGAGGATGATGATTTAATTAAGATATTGTAATTCTGCAGGGCAGCGTCAAGAAAAGAGAACCAATTAATGGTGCAGAGACCCCAGCATACTTGTAACACAGAAGTAACCATGGGGGTCCGAGATGCAGAGCTCCGGTTGCGTTCTGATGTGTTGCGGTATGCATTGGATGTAGGATGAAAATTTGATTCTGCAATTGGTCTTTATGTGATACACGTGCATTCTCAGGTTTGAAAGTGATCCTTAACTAAAAGTTTATTTTGTATCTTTGGATATTTTTGTTTAAAAAAGGGTGTAAATTTAACTACCAAAGACTCATTTGTCTTCAAGACTCATTTGTCTTCATTTTATTTTGTTATATTGTAGAAAATATTTAGTTTCTTAGATTTAAATGTGCTTTTTAAATTTGTTTGAATGTCAATGCTGTCTCCAAATATTTAAATTTTAATGCTTTATGGATTTAAAAAAAAAAAATCTATTATTTAATCAATTTTGTCAAAATAAATGCTCATGGATGTTATTTAAGTCTAAGGATCAGTGCAATAATGTTTCTTCATTTGTACGCAAAGCTACAAGAACAAGTTTGTTTTAATATATTTATCACTTCTTAAGAGTGAAGATAAGTATGTTTTACAATAAAGACTATGACTGGTAATGATAAAAATGATTGTGAAAAACTGTGGCATTATAATTATTTCTCTCAACAATTTCTATTTTTAATTCTCTTTTTATTTTATTTTTTCGGTGTAATATTGTTCGATTTGCCGTTCAATTGACAGTTGACACACAAAAAAAATAAATGTTCTCATCCTTTTCTCAAACTTTGCCTTTGTATCATCTTTTGTTGTTACTCCTGAGGAAAAAAAGTGCCAATTAATTGTACCTCATCAATTTTATGCATTTAGTTAATTGCCTGTCACGAATAGGGGGGAAAATATCATTTGGAACCAAACTGTGGAACAATATATATTGATAAAATTGTAACTGATATTGTGGATCCTTCTATATGTCCATTATATAAATATATGAAATATTTTATGGGAATGTAGAAATAATAAATGTATCACTGGTAAATCGTCTTTATTCTTGTGACATGAAGCACCCCCAAAGATATAGATATATATGTAGCTCATCAGCTGAAACCAACCATGACCATCTTAATCATCATATGTGCTACTTGTGAACTTTGTTGGGGGTGCACAGATGAGACTGATTCTGGTATGAAATGTGCATGTGCAAGTATTAAATAAGTTTTTCTGTGAGCAGTAGTTCTGAATTTTGTTAACCGTCTTTATTTTTAGAGTTTAGTTTGGGAGGAGCAAAGTGTGTGTTGAATTTCAGTTTTAGACACATTGGTTAGCTCTGTTTAACACTTTTAACTCTGCAGTTATTAGCAGATGTGTGGCAAAATATTTTGGCTGAATTTTAAAAAACTGCTCCAGGCTTATCTCATCTCTGTCATGTGATTTTGACGGATTTGGACTGAGGGATGGACTTGTTTGAGAGCACCTGTACTTATTAACACACGTGTGTCCATTGAAACATCAAACACAACTTTAAACGTTTCTTAAGAACTCTGAAGATTATAAAAGTTTCGAGATTTCTTACCACAAAAAAAAAAAATCTGTACAATTTCTTTTCTTTAATTTTTTTAAAAAATCCAAACTGAAATGGATTTTTGACGAACTGGAAGTGAAATGCCAGTTAGCACTTGTTAAAATAAATGATTCTCTCTTAATGTTAATCTGGCAAAAAGTAATTACTTCAGCAACTCTTCAGTGATCCAGTAGTCACATCAGTCATTGGGCTTTCCCCATACAGGTTTATTTTATTAGATCGAAGCTTTAGAATTTTGACATAATAAAGAGAGGTCCCTCCAATAAATCAATCACTCCAATAAATCAACCACTTCAATAAATCAATCACTCCAATAAATCAATCACTTCAATAAATCAACCACTTCAATAAATCAATCACTTCAATAAATCAATCACTCCAATAAATCAATCACTCCAATAAATCAACCACTTCAATAAATCAATCACTTCAATAAATCAATCACTTCAATAAATCAATCACTCCAATAAATCAACCACTTCAATAAATCAACCACTTCAATAAATCAATCACTTCAATAAATCAATCACTCCAATAAATCAATCACTCCAATAAATCAACCACTTCAATAAATCAATCACTTCAATAAATCAATCACTCCAATAAATCAATCACTCCAATAAATCAACCACTTCAATAAATCAATCACTTCAATAAATCAATCACTTCAATAAATCAATCACTCCAATAAATCAACCACTTCAATAAATCAACCACTTCAATAAATCAATCACTTCAATAAATCAATCACTCCAATAAATCAATCACTCCAATAAATCAACCACTTCAATAAATCAACCACTTCAATAAATCAATCACTTCAATAAATCAATCACTCCAATAAATCAATCACTCCAATAAATCAACCACTTCAATAAATCAATCACTTCAATAAATCAATCACTTCAATAAATCAACCACTTCAATAAATCAATCACTTCAATAAATCAACCACTTCAATAAATCAATCACTTCAATAAATCAATCACTTCAATAAATCAATCACTTCAATAAATCAATCACTTCAATAAATCAATCACTTCAATAAATCAATCACTTCAATAAATCAACCACTTCAATAAATCAACCACTTCAATAAATCAACCACTTCAATAAATCAATCACTTCAATAAATCAATCACTTCAATAAATCAATCACTTCAATAAATCAATCA